CTGTAAAATTACGGGTGGAACATTTTCTTCTTTAACGGTAAGAAGGTATTGTTATTGTTTATTTTACGGTTAAAAATAGTGCTAGGGTCAATATTTTACCGTAGAAGAAAATGTTTTAACTTGAAGAAAAAATGTTTTTCCCTAGAATTAACATGAAAATAACATATAAAAGAAAGTTTGTGCCAGAAATCACAACATTCTTTCCCTGTAAAATTAACTATCTAAATATAGAAAAAATACAATTTTATTCTGTAACCGTGTTTAGACTAGAGTGCTTTTAAGTGTTCTACTCTTTAAGTTTAATACACAAACCATGATTTTATTCAAATTACTAAATGTAACACAAAAATATCCACCTTAAATTTCCAAAAAAGTATTTTATTTAACATCTTTGATGCTTTGAACATCAAACATTTACATTTTTACTCAACAAATCACAAATAGTTACTAGTCATCTCCATGACAGTAACAGTGAGGAATCACAGAATTCTTACAAGTTCTGTTCAAACTGTGCAAAACCAGTGCTGTAAGTTGAGCACACATTATACTTCACATTACCTTTAGCAGACAATTCAGACACCTTTAAGTGTTTTGGTGCTGTTCTCACTACATAAATGTCAGTACACATAGAATCTTGACTTTTCAAATTATCCAAATACAAATATAGAGAATTAAACATTTTTTCTATAATTGAAAGAAAGTCTGAATTGAAGAAATTACAGGAACAAGTTTACACCCACATATTTTGCACACAGAACTGAGCAGTAAAGCTGAAAATGTACATCTTAAAACTGCATCAGGTAACAAACAAAAACTTTAAACTTGTTTTGAGAACTTCAACTGCAAATTTTTGGATAACTACAAAATGCCAGCAATGTACTGTACATGCAGCATACTTTTACACTATTGTAATCCAAGAAACAAAATCACCACATTTTTACCAGATACATTTTTCAGATATAAAACAGTGAATCAAAAGTAGAACATGTACTTTTACAAATTGTGTCTAGTAAAACTTCACATTGTTAAAAACTTCCCACTCACAATCAGAAATGTAACAATTGTTTCAAAAACATAACATCTGTAGAGTATGTAACATGGTATACCTTTATCACTTCGTCTCAAACAAGAGGGGTAGGACTAGATCCACTCATGGTCAGCAATGTCTGAGATGAGAGTGAGGACTCTGGGATTGACTGAGAACACTTTTTTCTTCTTGGATTCAACCTTGGTGCCTCTCTCAGGATTTATGGAAAAGAAACACCTTCATGAAAAAAGGGCAAGAGAGATTGAGGAAATTAACAACCTGAGGTGGGATATCAAATGGCCAAGTTTGATAAGCACAAAAATAAATCCATAATAAAAGAAATTTTACCGTTGAAGGAACTCCAGTGTTGATCGTAGTTCCACAGGGTAGTGTATGTTAAAGCAGTGGTAACTGCCAAACATTAGGCAGATAGCAGAGGTGAAGGTTGTGATGCGGTCGTTGACAATCTTCTTGTCAATGCTCAACATGAATGTCTCAGCAGCGAAGCAGGAGGAACCTGAGAATTAACACAACAACAACAACAAATTAAAAACTTTAATAACAAGAGCTTTAATGTCAGTCATATATACAAATACAGAGATACTTGTTACATGGATCATAGGATGAGTTATATTACTAGTTGAACTTATATGGTTGTGTTATCCAGTGTATCAGTGTGGAAGCAACAGAACGTGAAACTAAACAAGCCAAGAGTACAAGAACGTGGCAGTTACAACAGAAAAAAAAAAGTTGAATTTTGTACTTTCGGCTTACCGCAAACAATGATGACGGGTGTTGGTGGCACTTTCTCCATCTGAACATCTTCTGCAAGGCTTGTCATCTCAACGCAGTGGAACAGAAGCTCTCCCTTCTCGTCAAAATGAGCCAGTAAAAGAAACATCATCTCAATGACTTCTTGCAAGCAACCACTGGACTGCCCTCTTTCAGTCTGAAGTTTGAGAACAGCATTCAGGACTTGCTTGTGCTTTTGTGCATCAACATATTTGAGGAACTTTAACAGACGTGCACCCTTTTTGTCCACATTGGCAAGGAAGGTCTCCATCAGATTCACACCAGTCAGTTCTTGGAAATGTGCGGTCATACCAACTTCATTGAAGAGAAAGGGCCATTCCTGGCATAGTTTCTGGATGCTTGCCCCTTTGTTGATGTCTTTACGCTGCGTGTAATAGGTGCACTTGACTAGTTCTTTCACAACATCTGTACTGTAGTTATTCTTTTTAAACAGCTTCTTCATTTCTTCTTTTTTTTCAAGCTGACTCTCCACAGTCTCAGAGAGTGGCAAATGCTTTGGCTCCCAGCTAATACAGCCATATGTGTCTTGAACCCTTGCTTTTTGTTCAGCTGGTATTTCATCTGTGTCGTTGTCGTCATCTGATATTGCTTTGCGTTTTTTTACCTTTGGTGTGTCAGGTCGCTTGACATTTTCAACTCTTGCCTGAAGTTGCTTTACAAGAGAATGATATCCAGGTCCAATAACATCACCATCAATCACATCTTGAAGAGACTTGGGATACTTGGCCACCATCCTTTTTGCTATCTCTGTAGTATTGTGTTTGGTTGGATTCTTACAAGTCTTCATCATTTCAGAGACCACAATCCTTATCATTTCTCGTCTTTGTCTTGCGCTTGGTCTTTTCTGTCTTTCCAAGTTCTGCACCAACTCCTCAGGGAGCCTCTGCCATGGTATCTCAAATCTCTCTACCCAGTTTGGTAGTAATGGTGTACAGATTCCTGAAAGTGATGAAGTAGTGGTGGATGATGTTGGTGAAGAAGAAATTGAAGGTGGAGAAAGAAGGACATCCACTGGAGAGGAATGTACAGCGATTGGTGTCGAAGTGCCAGAGACTTTAAAAGTACATAAAAAAAGAGATATGAAAGCATTAGATCATGTTTTCTGTTATGTTAAATTCTGCACTGCATAGATACATTTTGAGATATTAAGGTTACACAGCGTGGTCAAAACTTAATAATGCAATTTGTCTGATAGATTGCATTTCGAAACTCAAAGTGTATTAAATTTCCCCACAAAGCATCCAAGTTTTATTTACACAGAAAGCATGGTTAAATAATGATGGCCACATCAGACTCAGGAACACTCATATTCTAAGTATTTCTAACTTCAACAGCCCTCTGTGCGTTTGGTGTGGTGACAATGTTTTACACTTACCATTTTGGGTCCAGGCAGCCACTAGTCTTCTAGCTTGTATGGGCTTGAGCACTGGCAGCAGGTCATTTTCTGTAATGTACTTTAAATCATCTGTGGTTTCTGCACCAAGTGTTGTCAAAGTATCTTCTACTGACTTGAGAAGTTGATCAGGAAGGTCCGGAAGCACTCCTGCTATTGCATCCCCTATGTTCTTTAAGATAAGCACCTGCGATTCAGCCATATCTGTTAAGACACACATACAAAGAGTTTGGCTCTGGCCCATGATGTCATATCAAGGCATTCAGTCTGACAAGACGCTGTGCTTCAGTGGAACAATCTGGTGTCCGTTTTTCACGTAAGATGATAACGGCCACAAGTCAATCAGTTCAGTGATGAGTCTGCACTCTAATCTCCCAGTGTCATTTTTTACAGAGTACATGTGGTAGCAAGAAAGAAATTCTGCATCATAAACTCTCATGAGAAAATGAAGAGCAGACTCATCTTTAATAAGAATGAGGAGAAGTTCACCAAACTCCATTGACTGATCAAACTTAGTGACAATAAAGTGACCCTTTCTGTAATTAAGCCCATTATACTGAACAGCAACTGGAATCTTTGTATTGCTTTCAGTAAAGCCAAAATGTAGGACTGCGTCTTTAACTTGCTCACTGTAAAGCTCTGAGTAAAATGGTGAGCAATCTTTTATTTGCAATGCTGGAGGACTCACTGACCCAGCAGAAAGGAAGGCCTGAAACATCTGATGTCTCTCTGAAAGAGTCAAGCACAGATTTTTGAAATTTTTCAGATGCCTTGCACATCTTTTGAAGTAACTGTGTTTGCTCTCAAAGCGCATTGTCCAAAGCCTGATGAGAGGGCCAAATTTTAGGATCAGCCCTGGATAATGTCGTAAGTAATGGTGTTTAGGTCTTAAGTTGATATTAGGAAACAGCACCTTTCTGGTTTCCAAATACTCTTGGATGAGAGCATCCAGATAAGTAACCTGAGCCTTGGAAATTTGCTGAGCACAAATTAGGTCAACAATGTCCTTAAGCTGCAACGTTAACTGCCACACATCATCTTGAGAGTTCTGCACTCTGTCTCCAATTATGAGAGGTAAAAGTCTCAAGAAGTTCCAATTTTGAACAGCTTGTCCACCAAGTTTCAATGTTTTTGGACTGACCTCACAAGGTTTGGATGAAGCATCTGTTTCTTTGTATTTAAATTGCTTGATGCGCCTGTTCAGAATTGGGTAAGTGAACCATTTATTTGTGTTGATGAAGTACTTGAGGTAAAGAGCAAGATCGTATGAGAGGACACCCTCAAAGATGTCATGACCGAGACATGGGGGCATGCCAGGTGTGCAAACATCAAAGCTTTGTAAAGAATTAAATACAGACCTGAACTTTATCCCCTGAACTTCTGACACGTCTTCTCTTTCCAGTTGTTCAGTGGCAGATCTATACGTTTCTGGGGTCCGCTGAGGTCCACACACTGCTGGATCAGCACCCTGAAATTCAGTTCAAGTTAACAGACAATATCTGCATAAGTACACTGATGAACTGAAATTTTCTGTAAAACCCCCAATACAATGAGAGCCCAGGTTGTCTCCAGCAATGCAGTAGAGGGCTCCTTTCACTACAGTTTTGTCTGCCATTGTTATCCCATTCTCCTCTAGTACCTTCAAATCAGTCAGGAGTTCTGAAAAAACATTTTCATGGCCAAATTCTTTGAAATCCTTCTCCCTACACAGTAAGACAAGCTGCATATGATCAGTATTTGACCGGGCATGGGGGGGGGGATGTTGAGTAGAGAGAAGTACACAGCCAAAACCTTGTGCTTCTTTTTGGCAGAACCAAGTGGGTTCACTACTTCAAATGCATCCTGGTATAGAACCAGCTTGAGGCAATGTGGATTTTCCTGAAAAAATTAGTTTGACACAAACACGTTACCATCACAACAGTCGCTGAGAACATCTGGTCTTGAAACATTATTAGGATCCACTGATATGAGACCTTGCCAAAAACTTGATTCCAGCATACCCTTCAAAGTATTTAGCAGAGGAACATAATAGGCAAATCTCTCCATCCTGTTCTCGTCCCTGCCCAAAAACACTTTTCTGGGTTCAACATACTTGAACACATCTTTAAAGCACTGAACTCTTGAATAAGCAGTTCTCATGGGCCCTGTGTGACAAGCTGAGAACAAGTCAGATTGTTTTACTGTGTCACAGATTTTTACAATGTCTTCATCTGAAACTGACATATCTTTTAGAAGTGACCTTAGTCTATTCAATGTATACATCTGTCCCAATTCATGTATATTTTGTATTTCTTCAACAATGGTTTGAATGGTAGATGCTGGCAGAAGATGCTGTCCCTGTAGTTTAATGTAAAACATACATACATTTCTGAGATACAGGTCACTGAAATTAGACCCATCCATTCCAGGGTCTTCTATATCTGATACACTGGCACCTTCCTGTATGGTGGCACTTGTAGATGGACTCTCTGACTGAGTATCTTTGTTTAAACCACAAATCACATTTTCCAAACGTTTGTGTTTTCTAGACATATGGGAGGTAAATGTAGATTTTACAGAGAACTCACTTTGGCATCCTCTCACTGGACAAGTTACATGCCGTCCCTCTTCTATGTGTTCCTTTAAGTGAGCAATCAAAGCTTTAGTTCCCTCACATTGGCGTTCACAAAGTGAGACAGTGCAATTCAAACCCATTAAGGTAGCATTCTGAGAAACAGTTGCGGTACCAGTGTGGTGGCGGTAGAAGTGAGACTTTAAAGCAGCATATCCAGAAAACACCTGCTTACAACTTACTTCAACACATTTAAAAATACACCGGGGTTCATTACGATGCAGTCTGCAATGCAAAACAGCTTTCACGGACTGAACCGATTCTCCACATATGCTGCAAAAATACATAGTCAATATGACACAGCTGCGAGGCTAGCTAACTTAAAGCTTCAGCCGGATTTCAAATAAGGCGGGAAAATCCAGGCAGCATTTAGACAAAGCATTCAAATATAGCTATACTAATTAGACGGTTTCCATTAATACACCCGTCTCCAAAACACGTCTCAACGAGCACTGCTGGTTTTGCAAGGCTCTTTTCAGCCTAATGTAGCTAACGCTAATGCTAGAAACGAGCTAAAGCTAACGTAAATTTATCATTTGCGCCTTCACTGCCTGCAACACAATGCTGTCGATAAATAAACCAAGTTGGATTATTTTCTTACCGTAGTAACTGAAGACGAGCTGTGGCAGACGTTAAATTAAAAAAATGAGAAACAGTTCGACGAAAATGAAGATAGCGTGATGCCGTAGTCCAAAGCAAAACTTGTGTGGAGCTGTACAGACGTTATCTGCGGCGGAGCCTGATGCAGTGCGCTGATTGGTCCATTTGAAATCAGGCGCCTTGATGTGAAACGGTGCTCTAAACTTCAGGGGAAAATGCCTAGTTTTGGGAGGAGGTGCTTTTAAAATCTTTTTTCTTCATATGATAATTAACTATGAATAAATAGAACAGACAACAGATTATTATTTTAATACTTATGGGATTATATGAATTTACCCAATAATATAGTATGTCTATCATTAGCTGTAGGTCTCTCCAGTTGTTGTTAGCTTTTACATTTTAAACTCATGGTTTATTGAGTTAAACAGAATGTAGATTTAACAGCTACATCCCATATTCTTTACAAAAACTACATCCAAAAATTGCCCTAATACATTTCTAGTATAAAGATCTTGGGACATATGTACCTGTTATATTACAATTTGAGAAAGAATATGCTGTATTAAATGTGCTATGAATCAAGAATGGATTTAATGTAAAGTGCTTTGGGCTTCTTGAAAACCGCTATCTAATCCATTATTATTATTATGTGAAATTAATGCAAAAATCACAAAGTCATATTACAGCATGTATCCATTACCAGCACAACCATGCTTACATTCAGCAATTAAAACCTGTATTTTTTTCAATAAATAAATGTAAAAAAAATTGTGTTTGCCTGTTCTAAACTTTATTGGAATCTTCCGTTAAAAAAACTATGCAAGAGTGATTTACAGTAGGTTTATGTATTTTTTTCAGAGAAAAAATGTACATATTACAGTTTTTCCACATTTCTTTATTTACGGCAATTTCACATCAAATCAACAGTTTTAAACTGTTTTATAGTTAACAGGTTTTTCCTGTCGTATTTTTACTGTCTTTCACTGTTAAATATACGGATCTTTTTTACAGTGTGGTCCCCAGGTCCCTCTTCACAGGATGCAGTGAGTGCCTCTGTATTCTCAATGACATCCTCTATCATGCATGAGAAGTTTTGGTAAGCCCACCTTGTGGCCACTACAAAAGCTTCCACTCCTGGGGCAGCTCTCTAAACAGTTCGTATAAAATGTTCTGTAGAGTTGTGGTGTAGTGATCTTCTAAGATGAGCAATGTGTTGTATCCCCAAAAATTGGGGATACAACACATTGTATTGTGTACATCTTTCATACCAGCTCTCTTACTTGCGATTGCGGATCTGCTGCTTTTTGTTGCCCCTGGAAAGGTTTCAAAATCAAATTATATTTGTCACGTACACAGTCATACACAGTACGATATGCAGTGAAATGCTTGGACAACTGCTCGTGACCTAAAGAAAACAAAAAAGGAAAAGGCTATGAATAGATAGGAAATAAATATGAAAAATTAAAAAGGGAAATAAATATGAAAAATTAAAAGGGTAAATTTTACTAGGAAGGAATAAAATATAAATTAAGGTTAAAAAGGAAATAACTGTACAACACAAATTAGAATGAAGGGTTTAAGCTGAGGGTTAGGGTTAGGTACTGATTTTTCATGGTTAGGGTTACGGACGGTGGCTAGGGAAAGCTTTATGTCAGTTAGATGTCCCCACGAAGATATGAAAACACAGTGTGTGTGTGTGTGTGTTTATAAGAACACAATATTTGAGCAGTATTTTATTAAATTATTGGAAGACAGCATTTTTCTGATATTTTTTGGTTAAATATTCAACTAAGGCGTTATCTAGCTATTTTGCATATGCTACTACCAGAACAGGATTTGAATAAATGAATACATTTTTAAAAATGGAAGGTTTATTTTATTGCTTCATAAATCTACAATTTTCTGTAAATCACATTCTAAATGGTATTTTAATAAAAACCTTCAGAATATAGACAGGCATAAAACTGTGAGTGAACGTTAATGCAAAATAGCCTGAAAGGTTAAAACTGACATGTTCACATATGATGTATTTTTTAACTGAATCAACCACATGTAAAGAGATGTGCTTTGTAGCATATTTAACTGCCATCTGCACTTCCTGGGAAAGATACAATATACTAAAGTGTAACTGGACTTTTGTTTATTTGCAGAAAACAGTACATAAGCAGCAGATGGTCATTTCCTCCTGTTAGTCACATATGATTTGTCATGATGGCGAATGTCTTCATCGAGGAGGTTTGTTTATTTGTAACCTTATTAGCAGTTTTCACTTGTTTCCTCCCCTCCTGCTCTTTGTTAGCACTCGGCCGTTTTCATCATCACACGGACACTGTGAGAGGTCTTAAAATAGACGTATATAAAACGTCTTTAAAGGCTACAGAGCTGATTTGCATGATGGCCGTCGTTTGATGAGCAGTGGCGAAAGAACATTTGGCTGTCACGTTTGTAGCTGCTTCAGCCAAAAACAGAGAGCAACATTTCACTCCACCCTGTGGACCAGAAGAAAAAAAAAGTTCCTGTTTCTAGAGACGCTTTAACTTCAATCCTGACACGCTTTTGGCTTTTGCTCACTTCTGTCATCCTTTTTGTTATCATCGCCAAATCCAAGATGTCGCCCTCAAGTTTAGCAGTGGAGCCTCAGAAGCTGCAGCCGCCACAAGCAAGCCGCCACAACCCCTTCCTTTTTTCCCTTCCACCATTCCATTTTATCTCGTGCTCTTTAATTGACTCGCTGTGTGATGACGGAGCAGTGCGAGAGAGTGAGGGATGGAGCGAGGAGGAAAGTATGTTCCTAGATGTGGAAGGCAGTTGTGGGAGGGCTGTGATGAAAAAATAATGATGCTAGTTACATTCTATTACACAAAATGTAGAATATGGCAATGAAGTCCCCCCACAACATTTCCTCCTTAATATCGCCATCATCATCAGCCGCTGCTGCCGCTGCCGCGAGGAATTGTGGGACATCACACAGCGAGGAGCTGTGGTGGATGTGCTTTTTCACACATACACGCTTCTCTTTGTGTCTTCATTTATTCAGCTTTTAATGTATTTTTCATATCATACTTCACCTCATTATGGGTTTTATTTCTCAGTTCTTGGGCTGTAACTCATTAACATGGTGTTAATGTGGGGTTTTTCGTGGTTGCCATAGCATCACTGTTATATATGCACACATGCATATTATGCTACACACTAACATACTGTGTATTGTGAAGAGTTTTTTTTACAATGAAATTCACAGTGAACTGTTGTGATCTACAGAGGGTAAATTCTGAGGACGTCCGTGAGATGCCACCTCTGTCTTGCTGTTACACATAAGGTGTCATTGACCTGAGGTCTCTGTCCCCTTTGTGTTTTGTACTGGTTTGCATTTACTCGATCGATGACATGCTGGAGAGGTTATATCTCTCGACTGGCCTGGGATCATCTTGACGTTCTCCCAGAAAAGCTGAAGGAGATGGCTGGAGAGAGGGTGATCTGGGTTTATGCGGGGCCCCTGCAATGACGCAGGATGCATGGTTAGGTGTCACACAACAACTTTCTGCAAAGTCTAAAAAGAGTTTGTTTTTTTATATATATAATTGCAAAAAACAGAAGGGAAAAATATTTCATATTTAAAACAGTCATACTTTGCAAATAATGTGTAATTTGTGGATACAGGCAGCTCATCCCCACATGTTTTCTTTCTGCGGGCTTCTGCTTTAGTGCTCTGGAATCTAATTTAATCCAGTTCAGACATCTATTCCCTTTTTTAACAGGATTTATTTTCACAGAAAATGATCGGCTCTGTTTTCTTTTTAAAGGAAGGGGAAATCACAACGTAATTTAATATGCAACACAAAGCTCAACATTTAGCATTGAAAGTGCGAATTGGGTGGAAAGACCTGCTGCACAGGTGCACCAACAACAAATATTTTCTTCAAAAAGGTCAAAGTCAGATCTTTGAAAAAAGTCCATCAGTCTTAATATCAAAGCAGCAGGATCACAGCGCCAAACTCAATTTAAAATCTGCACTAAATAAAGCAACGAGAGCTCCTCACTGAGTGTGACACAATTTCATCAGGTTCAGATTAGATGAAAATTTATTGATCCCCGCAGGGAGATGGTGTCACTGCAGCAGGAAAATAATAAAAGGCTAAAATTGAATATAATTAGAAATATGGTAAATGAGGGGCAATACACAAGACAATACAACCACAAAATCCACTGTGTCCAGGACAAAAGAAGATGAAATGAACAAGAGAAAGAGATGAAAACATACAAAGAAGAGGCAATAAAAAAACCTCCCAGTGCTCATTCCATCAGCAGGACACGGTAACTTTATTTACACAGCACATTTCATACACGCTTTAATTCAAACTGCTTCACAAAAGATATTGAGACTTAAACAAAGAAATGTCAGAGAAAAAAGAAGAAGTAATAAATAATAAAGAGAAAAATATGATGGTACAGAGATGAGAGCGAAAAATGATTGTGGCGATACAAAGAAGGGGGAATTCCTTAATTATAGTATAAAAAAATGTTTTCCACATGTAGAGCCGATGCAGATGAAAATTTTACCAACCTTTTAAAAAAATCCCTTCGAGAGGGAATAATAAATTATAAAAGTATATAAAATACACTTCAAGTCTGAATGAAGATCGATGCCCTGGATCATTGAGCTCAATTTTGCAAATCAGTAAGCAGGACTGTTGTATGGTAACAATAATGGTTTGCATTATAAAAGGAGCTAAATGAAAAACATTTGATCCGAGCTTCTGAAAACGCACCTATATCGAACATGGCCTGAGTTTCTAATAATAATATCATTGTAAGTTATCCCGTGATCCATTAGGCCAGACTTCAGACTAAAACACTTTCCAGCTACTCTTGGTCATGTCATGGAGATGGGACATCCTTAATGTGATCATGTGATCATCTCAGACATGCCTCCAACCTGCTGTTCAAGCCTTCTGTTTACAAGGGACAAGTAAGGGTCAGTTGAATTAAAACAGCTTGTTTCAGAAAGAAGATGATCTAA